GTCCTAAAACACGGGAAAAGATTGAACCATTTAAACTTTGTAGCCTATAGATATATGAGAACCACAAAGGAAAACATGAGACACAACTAGCCTTTAACAGGTCCTGAAATCAACGTGTTATAAGTGTTATAATCATCTAAAAGCCTTCATATTAAAGACTTTACCTTGTAGTTGCAGATGCCCTCTTCAGCCCTGAAAACAAAGAAGAGATTCAAGAGATATTCAAGTTTTTGGCTGTAAAGAAGCTGTCAGTTTGAGACAGTGGAACCACCTGCTGGTATTTCTATGTAACTGCACAATAAACCTGAAAAACCCATGTTTAACTTCATTCATCTCAATCGTTTTTCAAATCAGATCTTTAATGTAGGTCAGATTTGAGTATCTGGATGTCAACTTATCTATAAAACAAAAACATTAAAATCGCGTTCTGCTTGACCTGGCTGCAACTGACGCCGACACCAGATTTAAGCAGCAGGGCTGAAGCACTGTCCAAATATGACTGAAGCAGAAGAGTGTCTAAACAAAGCCTTGAGATGTGGAGCCAAAAACTAAAAGCACCATCCTTTTACGAGTCTCTCATAAAAGCATAAAAAGATTGTCCACCATCCTGCTGACAGCAGTAACTGCTCTAATCAGGAACCACAAAGCAGTGACTGAACTCTCAAAACAAGAGCTAGAAAGACTGACCACAAGTAAATTGATTGGGAACAGTGTTATTCTCACTAATGATTAACAAATAATAAAATAAAAACAAACAACCATACAGTACAAATGTTTACCCAACAAATTCCAGGAGCAGAGACACATCCAGCTCTGGAGGAACAGTGAACACAGACTGAGGAATGTTGTCCTTCTTCTGCCTCTTTATAACAGCAGGACATGGAGGGGAGACGATCACTGCAAGAGAGGAAGGAGAACCCTCAGCACTGCTGTGCTCCATCTTTACACTTCCAGTTCTTGATCTGTAAATCTAAAAAGCATTTTTACTTGTTTCTAGTCTGACATTACTGCGCTTAAGGAGTAACACAGGCTGCACAATTATAGCACAGCTCTAAAAATGTCAACCCTTAGCACTCCGTCTATCTTAAAGTAGCCCTTTAATGAATTCTAATCAGGATATGAGAGCTGACAGAGCAAACATCCACAGCAACAGAAATTACAGCGATACATCAAATTTGGAGTTTGCATTTCAATCATAAGGCATCATCAGCAGAAGAGAAAAATGTTTGAAAATGAGCGAGAGGGGGGAGCGCTGAGGCTTCGGGCTTCTCTTGGAACTGCGTCTGTGTTAAACCCTTTAAAGCCGGTCAGAGCGGGCACGCTCCGTTTTGCGTAACTATTTTTAAATCCCGGTAGCACTGCAACCACGTAAGCTAGCGCAATAATTTTTTTTGCATATGAAACCGGAGGAGTTGTACTTACATCTTATGCCATCAGCTTGTCCTC